AATCACCGTGCAAGTTATAGTGCCTTTCTGCTAAGGACTTTCACATGTGTCACGTGTGTTACCTCTTCCCAGTGGAGTAAACTAAAATGCAGAGAGATGCAGTGAGTTCCTGAAAGTTCTAGAGCTAACCTTTGGGCTAGGACAGTCCATATCTCAATTGCAGGTCTGTGCTCTGTAGATGACATGCACTAGAAAGCCAATTAATAAAAACAGTAATTGATTCTAAAGAGACAGAACAATTATAGCTTATTCAATGAAAAATCAGTGAATCAAACAGGGAAGCTAGTATAGTTCTTACTGTGTGCTAATATGAATTATTAACCAAAGAGGGGAAATTATTTTACTAACAACTAGATATCAGCTGCCTGTTGTCTATCAGTCTATGCTGAGTTCTGGAGATGCAGTTTGAATCTTTGTAAAGCTCTATTGGCGTGTTTTGTTACCATGTGTCTCTTTGAAGATTTCTCCAAAGCTCAAGTGAGATGAAGAGCACAGCTGAGCCATCCTCATTGCGACAGCCCCCTGCTCAGTCTCCACGAACGGGGGCCGAGCTCCCCAGGCTGGAAGGAACCCTGGCTGCATGGACGCCCAAGCTTGGGCGAGGCATCTCAGAAGGAGGTGATGTTCTCTTCTTTGATGAGTCACCACCACCAAGACCAAAACTGGGTGCTTTAGCAGAAGCCAAAAAGGTAACTGGCATTTATTCTCTTTATCACTTGACTTTGCATTCTGTAAGGCATGGATTGAGTTTCAAACTCCATATACTTATGCCCAGGAAAGACAGACACCTAATAGCCATTTATTGATCATGATAAATAGAGTCAAAGGAATTTTGAATAATAATGGTATCAACATAATACCATTAATTTAATCCAAGAAAGTTAGAGCCATTATCTCAACACTGTTTCTGGTCAGGCTGAAGGAGACAGCCTAGAGGCTGTTTCACAGTCGAAGACACTGGCATTAGGAAAACAATTCTTGGAATTCTTAAGTCAGGATTGCAAAATAGTGGTTTGAAGAATCAATCTTTAAGAGAAATCATACATAGAAGTCCAGTTTACTGACAGATAAAAGGTGAGTTGCTCTGGCTGAAATGGGGGTGGGGGACACCTAGAAACGCACCTGGCCACTTCCTGAGTCCCCTGACTTAAGCTTCTCTCCTCTTTTCTCCAGTTAGCAGCTATGACCAAATTGAGGGCAAAGGCTAGCTATAAGCCAAAGCTTTACCTACAATAGTAATAATAATAACAATACCAGTAATAGTAACCATTGCACGTATTTATTAATATTACTCTGCACCTGTGATATATGCATGCCATGCTGTGTTTCCTATGTATAGGTACATGCTTTGTATATATTATCTCTTTTCATCCACACAACCATGACCATAAAAGATAGAGCAATGCTACCATCAGCCCCCATTTTATAAATGTGGAAACTGAGGCTGAGAAATTAAGTAATTTGCCTAAGGTTACCAGCTAGTCAGTGGCAGAGCTGCAATTCTATCCTAATTCTCTCTGGTTCTAAAACTTTCAAAATGGTGATGTGGTTCCTTATGGATCTGGAAGCCTGGAGTCTAGCTGATGTTAAGCTATTTATATTTAAATAAACTGAGACTTTATTCATTACCTTATAGACCTGTTTCCCATGCTTTTAAATTTTAATAATTGTGTTAATAATGCTAAGTAGGGCCTAGTCAGTTAGCTCAATTTGATAAAGCATGGTATTTTAATACTGAGGTCAAGGGTTCGGATCCCCATACCAGCCAGCTGCCAAAAAAAAAATAATGCTGAGTACAGTGAAGATATATTTTGCCAGTTTCTACTGGACAGCAGTAGAATTCACAGGTTAATAATAACCAGAAAGGGGTATGGGCTATAAGTGCCTATTTCATCTTTTAGATTTTAACCTCCCTCTCTTTTTTTCTAGTTAGCTGCTATCACCAAATTAAGGGCAAAAGGCCAGATTCTTACAAAAACAAACCCAAATAGCATTAAAAGGAAGTCAAAGGACCCCAAGGACATCCTGGAAGTGAAGGAACGTGTAGAGAAGAACAACACATGCTCTCCTCAAGGTACAGCAGTTTCACAGCCGTGGGGAAGAGAAACCGTGTGTCACGGAAGTGTTCTGAGCCATAACCGGAGCCCCTAACACAAGTCTTAACTTCCTCTCCATCTCCCTCTGTGTAGAATACCTATGTAGAATTCCTGTGACTGGAGCTGATTGCTTTTTATAACCACATTAAATTGGAATGAAATTATGCACAGTTTGAACACTTGGGAAAAGGAATGCTAGTTGGATATTTTAGCATAAAGATTTATTTTGAAGGAAATAGAATTCCTTTGTTTTTAATTGCCCTGTTTTTATTTTTAAAACTCTGAAGTTGGCAATGTCATTTTGAAATCAGTTTGTAAAAAGGATTTTTGTCATCATTATATATTATCATAATCAGCTCCCTCTTTTAAGTGAAAACGAGATTCTAATCTAGTGGTCAAATCTGCCACCGCCCCATATGCTAGGCTCTTCTTGGCTCACTTCTCGAGAGCTTTCCCTGCTGGAACCAAGTGGGAGACGTCACATTTGATGTCTCTGGTGGCAGAGACAGTGGAAGGAAGCNTATTCATTACCTTATAGACCTGTTTCCCATGCTTTTAAATTTTAATAATTGTGTTAATAATGCTAAGTAGGGCCTAGTCAGTTAGCTCAATTTGATAAAGCATGGTATTTTAATACTGAGGTCAAGGGTTCGGATCCCCATACCAGCCAGCTGCCAAAAAAAAAATAATGCTGAGTACAGTGAAGATATATTTTGCCAGTTTCTACTGGACAGCAGTAGAATTCACAGATTAATAATAACCAGAAAGGGGTATGGGCTATAAGTGCCTATTTCATCTTTTAGATTTTAACCTCCCTCTCTTTTTTTCTAGTTAGCTGCTATCACCAAATTAAGGGCAAAAGGCCAGATTCTTACAAAAACAAACCCAAATAGCATTAAAAGGAAGTCAAAGGACCCCAAGGACATCCTGGAAGTGAAGGAACGTGTAGAGAAGAACAACACATGCTCTCCTCAAGGTACAGCAGTTTCACAGCCGTGGGGAAGAGAAACCGTGTGTCACGGAAGTGTTCTGAGCCATAACCGGAGCCCCTAACACAAGTCTTAACTTCCTCTCCATCTCCCTCTGTGTAGAATACCTATGTAGAATTCCTGTGACTGGAGCTGATTGCTTTTTATAACCACATTAAATTGGAATGAAATTATGCACAGTTTGAACACTTGGGAAAAGGAATGCTAGTTGGATATTTTAGCATAAAGATTTATTTTGAAGGAAATAGAATTCCTTTGTTTTTAATTGCCCTGTTTTTATTTTTAAAACTCTGAAGTTGGCAATGTCATTTTGAAATCAGTTTGTAAAAAGGATTTTTGTCATCATTATATATTATCATAATCAGCTCCCTCTTTTAAGTGAAAACGAGATTCTAATCTAGTGGTCAAATCTGCCACCGCCCCATATGCTAGGCTCTTCTTGGCTCACTTCTCGAGAGCTTTCCCTGCTGGAAGTCCCGGTCCGGTACGGGGGCAACACTGAGGGTTGCAATCCGTTGCCGGACACGGAAAAAAAATAAAAATAAAAATAATAAAAATAAAAAGGATTTTTGTCATCATTATATATTATCATAATCAGCTCCCTCTTTTAAGTGAAAACGAGATTCTAATCTAGTGGTCAAATCTGCCACCGCCCCATATGCTAGGCTCTTCTTGGCTCACTTCTCGAGAGCTTTCCCTGCTGGAACCAAGTGGGAGACGTCACATTTGATGTCTCTGGTGGCAGAGACAGTGGAAGGAAGCTGAGTTGATGGTGTGCGCTGGCTTCCTGACATTTTTCTGTCACTGCTAACATTTTTCTTTCTGGTCTAGCTGAGGATGAACTGGAGCCTGTCAGGAAAAAAAGGAGAGAGCAGCTTGCCTACCTGGAATCTGAGGAATTCCAGAAAATTCTAAAAGCAAAATCAAAGCACACAGGTATCCTGAAAGAGGTAAGAACCCAAAAGATTAAGGGCAATGTCGATGTCCTTTAAACCCAAGGTACTTTGTCGCAGGACTGAGAATCTGTTTCTTTCACATAAACCACAGGATAACTGTATGTTAGCTTGTTTGAGTGTGCTTTGAAGAGCAGGAATACTTCTAATAGATTTTAGCTTTGCCCTTGTCCTTGCACTGAAGAGTATCATTTGACTTTATATTATTTCAATAGACTTCAGTATTATAAAGACGTTTGCATGTAGTTATGGCTGTGAATTATGGTTTTTTGGTTTTTGTTTTTTTGGTGGCTGGCTGGTACGGGGATTGAACCCTGGACCTTGGTGTTATCAGCACCACTCCCTAACCAACTGAGCTAACTGGCTAGCTGTGAATTATGTTTAAATGATTCAACACTGTTTACTGTTTTCTGCTTTGCAGTATGAAAAGGGATTTGTTTCCATTCAAATATTTTTATATTGGCATTTCAGATCCTCTAAATTAGTAGTTAATCCCATCACTCCCAATGCCCTTTTTTAATAACAAATATTTTGTATTACTTCCTTACTATCTGGAAATAAAATTCAGGCATAATATAAATTACCTATACTAGTAATTTCAAGAATTTTAAATATAATATCCTAGCTAATGTAAAGAAGAGAAAAGGAAAATATTAATGATGAAAAATATGAATTTTATTATGTAAATGCTTAGGCACAACTACTCTACAAGAAATAATGGAGTAATCAGAGGCTTGCGTTTGTAAATGTAAATGAGACAGCTAGAAATTAAGACTCATACAGGTATGTTTTCTTAGTAACTTAAATACCATGGGCCTATTTCTTTGAAAATGTGATTTTTCTAGAAACAGTGAACAATCCTGGTAAACCAAAGTACAGTTGTCTCTCAGGTTACTCAGGGGTTGCCTAGTTGTACTCTTGGAATATTCGGTGTATGTTAAAACCATGCACATATCGTAGGGTTGTATATAAAGCTGTTTGGTTCTAAGGTTCTAATCACGTTTCTCGTCCACACGGATGTCCTGTAGAAAACACAGAAGCCACGTGGGGCAAGGAACAACCCTTTGTTGTATGTGGGACTGCTCCGTGCATTATAGGAAGTGCAGCATCTCTGGTCCCTGCCAGTCGGGAGGTTTTAGCCATTGGGATAACAAAAAGTGCTCCCACACGTTTTCAGAATGTCCCTGGGGGCAGCACTGCCCCCATTTACTACAGCTACTCCAAATGGTCTGGTCTCCTTTTGATTAACAAGTAAGTAAGGAGACAGTTATATATCAAATGTTTTTTGTTGTTTTTTTTTTTTCCTTTTTGTCTTTTTTTGTGACCGGCAACGGATCGCAACCCTCAGTGTCACGCCCGCACCGGACCGGGACCGGCAACGGGATCGCAACCCTCGGTGCTGCGCCCGCACCTCGCTCAGCCAGCGAGCAGCCGGTCTGTATGTGGGATCCGAACCCCCGGCGGGAGCGCCACTGCGCGGGACCGGCAACGGGATCGCAACCCTCGGTGCTGCACCCGCACCTCGCTCAGCCAGCGAGCAGCCGGTCTGTATGTGGGATCCGAACCCCCGGCGGGAGCGCCACTGCGCTTCCCAAGCAGTGCACTGTAGCAGTGCGCCACCGGGCCGGCCCTATCAAATGTTTTCACTGGACTTGAACCGCAGTCAGGAGAGATGCCAGAGCTGACTCGGAAAGGCTGCAGACCGGAGCTGCTGCCTCTTGCGGCCACCAAAGACCCTGGGCTCCTGGGCGGTGCCCACATTTTGCATAAATACCCGCCTGCCCTGGTCCTCACTCCTGTCCCACAAAGTGGACTGTCATCACCAGGGGGCCCTCCAGTACCTTCTGTGTGCAGGCCTGTATTGGAACAGTAGAAATAACTGCTTTCTGCTTTGCACTTGACATAAGACACTGTTCATAATGTTAGTGGTTTTTATTTATATCTAGTGTTTTAAAAATCACTAAATGCTTTCATGTGCTTTTTAAAAAATATTATTATTAAGGGCTTGTTTCTACTTATTATCATCTTTCAGTCTGCAGTTCATTGTGGAACTATCTAGAGTCCTTTAACATTAGCCTGTCTCTTTGGTCCTGTTTTATCATTGAACTGAATCACTTGAATAATTACTGAATTATTCTTACTGAACCACCTGAATGTGTTGGATTTGGCACAAGGTCACCATGTGCCCTGTCATTCCAGGCCCAGGCTGTGCTGCAGGAGCGCTATTTTGAGCCACTGGAGAAAAAAGAACAAATGGAAGAAAAGATGAGGAACATCCGAGAAGTGAAATGTCGAGTTGTGACCTGCAATACAGTGAGTGGAGGTGGGGACTGGACCCCGTGGGCTGGGCTGGGCTGGTGAGTGGACGTGGGGGCTGGACCCTGTGGGCTGGGCTGGGCTGGTGTGCCTCAAAGCTCATTGAGAATCTGTGGGGTGTGCAGCCGCATCTTGTGATATGTCATTGAATTTGGCTGGAAAACAGACTGTCTAGGATAGCCAGGATCAGGCTTTTGACCTGCTGCCAAGCTCTGCTGGAGGGCACTGGTAAAGGAGAGCCTCTTCCCCTTTGGCCATTGGACCCAAGCTGTTCTTAGTGCTCCTCTTCAAGTTTGACCTGTCCTCAGTCCAGCATTTAGGCCCTGGGACTGTGGTTGAATCCATGTTATGACAGCTAACGTGTCTCTTTCTGCTCATAGCTTAATCTACTAAACTGAAATCTCAAGTCGGGGTGAATTACATTATTGTGTGTGTTTGTAGGATTTTTACTGTCTGTTAGAAAATTCCAAGTCCTCTGTTTCTTAACATTAATTAAAATGGTGGGGAAAAAAAAGTTCTTGCTGAACCCTTGTAACACAGGAGCCCCAAACCTGCGAGGGCACTCGTGTAGTGTTTACCTGCTCCAAAGAAATCACCCGGAGGGCCAGCGGGTAGAGACACTGATTTATTAAACTTAGCAAGAGACACCGATGGGGCAGTCAGTCAGAAATCTGCACCACCATGGGGTACATACAATACTTACATAGTGAACAGATCAAAGTAGGGGTGTAAATCATTTTTAGGCTCATGTGCAGACCCTCACCCAGCTCATGTAACTCAGAGCATGCCAGAGATTTGGCTGGGTAGGTAATTAATTTACCCACTATTCTCCTGGTGCCAGATGCTTGTTCATTTACTTAGGTTCCCTGCTCCATCCAGCCCTCTGTCTTAAAGGGGACGTGCCTTTCCTTGGGTAACCGCCTTGGCTGGGGTAGTCTCCCAGTGGGGAGGGGGAACTCTGGTATGCATGGGGAGCGGGTAATAGAGCTATGTCCAGCATCTACCCTACAACACTGCTTATTCCTTTACCACTCATTCCAAATGCGCCTGCATGGCGAGTCAGACTAGTAAACACATGGACGACGGGGAAAAGGGTTAGCTTAGCAAGCACACTTTTCTCTGCCTTTATTCCTTTTAAGCCTTCAACCGCCTTGGCTGGGGTAGTCTCCCAGTGGGGAGGGGGAACTCTGGTAAGCATGGGGAGCGGGTAATAGAGCTATGTCCAGCATCTACCCTACAACACTGCTTATTCCTTTACCACTCATTCCAAATGCGCCTGCATGGCGAGTCAGACTAGTAAACACATGGACGACGGGGAAGAGGCTTAGCTTAGCAAGCACACTTTTCTCTGCCTTTATTCCTTTTAAGCCTTCAATTCTTTCACAGTTGGGGGTTGGCCCTGAGTCAGCTGCCACCAAAGACAGGGCTTCCCTAAGAAAATTTAAACCTTTGAGAATAAGTAAAGATGATTATTTCAAGCATCATTTTTGGAAGAAAGGAACCACAAACCCACCATGGCATTTTACCTCACTGGCAGCTGTTAGTCTGACAGAATGATGAGCCCAAGCACATAGCTGGTGTTTTAGCTTCCTGTTGCTGCTGCAACAAATTACCACAAACTTAGAGGCTGAAAACAATGCACATTTATTACCTGTTATATGGATGAGAAGTCTGTGTGGGCCTCGCTAGGCTAGAATCAAGGTGCTGGCGGGGCTGTTCCCTCCTGGAGACTCTAGGGGAGAACCCATTTCCTCGCCTTGCCCGGCTTCCAGGCCACCTTCACTCCCCAGCTGTGGCCCCTTCCCCATGTTCCCAGCCAGCACCAGCAGGCTGAGCTCTCATGTCACGTCACTCCAGCCTCCTCTCTTGCCTGCTTCTTTCACTTTAAGGACCCTTGTGATTACATGCCCCCCCCCCCCAGATAATCTAGGATCATCTCCCTATTTTAAGATTGACTAGTTAGCAACCTTAATTCCACCTGCAGGCTTAGTTCCCCTTTACCATGTAACACCATATTCCCAGATTCTGCAGAATGGGACGTGCACATCTCGAGGGGCCATTCTTCCACCCAGCACACTGGCAGCCCACTCCACTCTGCACTTTTTGATGTTGCTGAAGTCTAGAGTATTTATATGGACTTGCTATAATTACCAGAAATTCCATCGCACTCTCCCGGCATCTGTTCCAACTTCCACCCACCATTTCTTATTCTCTTCCAACCTTCTGAGGATTAAAATTAAAAGTGAATTACTTAATATCTCTGTCTTGGTTTTGCTGCTTCTGAAGGAGGAGTAATAATAAGCTTATATCTCTTTCATAGATCTCGTAGGAGAAAACAAAAGAGCCACTGCTCAGCCTTCCTAAGTAGGTCCCAAGCCTCAGTCTCCTGTATAATCAAGGGCCCATAAAGAATCTAGCACAGGCCAAATGAAACTGTTTAGAGATTTGCAGGACTTTTCTTCTTCTGCCCTTAATATTGTTTTTTTTTTTTTTTAATATGACCGGTAAGGGAATCTTAACTCTTGACTTGGTGTTGTCAGCACCACGCTCTCCCAAGTGAGCTAATCAGCCATCCCTATATAGGGATCCGAACCCGTGGCCTTGGTGTTATCAGCACCACACTCTCCCAAGTGAGCCACGGGCTGGCTCTTTTACTATTTTAATGTCACAGAAGGTTATTTAGTACTTCATGCCTGACCAGAAATTGGAACAAACATGAGAAAAAGAGGTATTGGTAGAGGGAAAGTCAAGAAATCACAGGGTTCGCTGAAGGTGGCAGATCAAGTGGTGGAGTCCCTAGTGATCACCTGGGTGGGAACAAGGGAACCAAGTTGTCATGGAACAGGTTCCTGACAGCAGCTAACCAGGTCTCGTTAGAAGCTCTTCGCTGATGTCCTGCTTTTGTGCTGGTCTGTGCAGTGTGCCTACACCCACTTCAAGCCCTTGGAGACCTGCATCAGCGAGCAGCACTCCTACCACTGGCATGACGGCGTAAAGAGGTTTTTCAAGTGTCCCTGTGGGAACAGAAGTATCTCCCTTGACAGACTCCCAAAAAAGCACTGCAGGTATGAGAATTGCTTAGGACTCTCTGCCTCACGTAGAGACTCTTCCAGTTCCTGTGTGATTCTGTCCCCCTGGAATGTTAGAAGATTGTTTCGTGCCTTCTTACAGCTCCTGGATGTCCCTGAGACTAGCATTGTTAACCAACATGCCTGGAAGGAAGGGACCCTGCCCTTTTCACTGCTGTGTCCCCAACACTCAGTGTAGTGCCTGGCCCATAGTCCTCAATGTCTGTTGAATAAGTACATGACGTGCAAATAGGGTGGGTTGGTGAATATATGTATGTTTGTTGGAGGAAGGATGTAGAAGTTTTTCTCTCTCCACTCCAAGGAGTGATCTGTTCGTTTAAAATTTCTTTAGTGTGTGAGTATGTGTGTTTTAAGGGTCTTTTGTTTGTTTTTGTTTTTACTTTTGGGGGGCACCATTCCCACAGAGGACAACGTGATGTCACCCTCTGGACTTAGGGTCGCGGGATTGCTCTAGTCTGTAGAACATCATCTTCAGTGGTCCGTCCGGTACTCTTCGTCTTATTCTTGGATTCCTTCCATCCCCTTCCTCCCTGCTGTCCATCCCTAATGCCGCAGTCAGCCCTTCTCCTGTGATTAATGGTATCCTTTTGTTTGTGTTCTTGTGGAAGTGTACTGTTTCGTATGCAGGCACTCTTATTTTATACAAAAGTACAGTATTCTTTCTCCTTTTCTTTTCCGCTCAGCTCTGTGTTCTTAGGTGCCTGTTTGCCCTGTGAGCATCTCTTCTGTTTCTAACTGATAATGGTGCCCCATGATCAGCATCCATCTCCTCATCTGTGGGCACCAGATGCTTCCAGCAGCCCCTCACCCTCTCCACCAGTGTCCTCATGGTCTCATGTAGGAGGTTCTTTGGGATGTGTCCAGGGTTGAACCCACTGAGTGGTGCCAGGTTGCTCTCCAGAGTGGCTGTGCTGGTCTACACGCCATCGGGCACACACAGGGTCTCTGTATCCCCGGGTCCTCACCTACATTTTTGCCAAAGAGTACAAAGGGATAGCCTATTGCTTTTAAAATTTTCATGTATCTGGTTATTGATTTTTTTAACTGTCTTTTCATATGCTTTTTAGCATTTTGAATTTCCTCTTCTGTAATTTTCTTTTACTATATTCATTTTTGTATTGGGGTTTCTCCCTTTCTCTTACTTATTTACAGGTGTTCTTTCTGTATTTAAGATCTTAGTCCTCTGTAGTTATAATCATTGCAAATCATTATTTTTCCAAACTGTTGACTTTTATTTGATTTAAATCATTAGGGAATTTTTTTACCTTACAGCTTTGTGCTTTTACAGTTTTTTGTTGTTTTAATTAATAGGGTTTTTTTTTCCCTATTACCCTAGTCCTTGTATCCCAAATTACAAAGACGGTCTTCTACATTTTTTTCTCTTCACATCATAGTACACCTTTTGTATTTGTGTATTTGGTAAGTCTCAAAATCCACTTTGTAAGTGATTTGGGAACATCTGTATATAGTGACCCTCTCACCTCATGCTCTTTTTCTCCACATAAGCCACTTTCCCCAGTGCTATATGCTAAATAGTTTCCTCTTTTCCCCACTGCTTTGTGCTGCCCGCTTTGTGCAAATTAATCTCCATGTGTGTGAGGGTCCACGTCTAAGATCACTCTTCTTTCACTGATCTACTTGTGCAGGGGTCAGTTCCACACTGTCTTCATCACTGGGCGTGTATGGTATGTCTTCACTGTTAGGGCAAAGATCACTCCCCTCCTCTGCCTTTTACTCTTCTTTTTCCAGATAGACTTAGATTTTCATGTATTCTTCTCTGTGTAATTTAGAGTCAGTTTATTGAGTTTCTTAAAAACTTCCAACAGGAACTTGCACTAGGGTTGCCTTTACTGAATGTTGGACAGTGAGGATAGACAATGATGGGGATGGTACTGGTGTGTCTTTCTCCCTGGGGTCCCTTCTGCACCTTGCTTATCACCTGACTCTAGTGGGGCCTGTGCCAGGTGAGGACTGGGCTGTGGCCCTGGTGAGGCTCAGAGCACTTCTGGTTAGGCCCTGGCCCTCCAGGGTTTTCGGAGAGCTCGATGTGTTCTAACACAAACGTACTGTTTCCAAGACTGCCCCTTAGCCCTTCAACTCTCCTTTTCAAAGGCTTTCTGCTTGAGTGTTTAGTCTTTCTGTCTCAGCTCCAGAAATAGACAGATATCCTGAAGGGAATATCAGCCATCACGAGTTCTGCTGGTGGCTGCACAGGGCAGCCCATCTCCCCAAGGCTGTCCCTGCAAGTCCCCCGGTTCTAGTCTCAGCAGCTCCCCAATGCCTTCATCTACGGGATTTCTGTATTTTATTAAGTTTTTCTAGTTCTAACAGAACACAGTCCAGGCAGAAGCACTGTGTCCCACTCAGAAGCAGAAGCCCTGATTGGGGTTGCATTAAATGAATAAAAGAAGTTTGAGTGATGCCTTTATATATGAAGTCATCCCCGTTTAAGATCACGTAGTAGCTCTCCATGGATTCATATCCTCTTCTATTGCCTCTATTCAGTTTTAAAGTTGTCTCTGTCAAGGTCTTGAGTATTCTCAGTTAATCCTTAGATATGTTATAGTTTTGGTTGTCACTGTGAATGGTGACATTTTTTAGTTGCTTGTTGTTGGTGTAGAGAAATGTTAACTACTTTTTAAGTGTGCAGTTCAGTAGTGTTAAGTAGATTCATGTTTTTGTGCACAGTTTTATCTGTTATTCCAACACTTCCACCCCCTATTTCTTTTTCTTTTTCTTTTTTTTTTCCTTTTTGTCTTTTTTTTCGTGGTGTCCCACTCAGAAGCAGAAGCCCTGATTGGGGTTGCATTAAATGAATAAAAGAAGTTTGAGGGATGCCTTTATATATGAAGTCATCCCCGTTTAAGATCACGTAGTAGCTCTCCATGGATTCATATCCTCTTCTATTGCTTCTATTCAGTTTTAAAGTTGTCTCTGTCAAGGTCTTGAGTATTCTCAGTTAATCCTTAGATATGTTATAGTTTTGGTTGTCACTGTGAATGGTGACATTTTTTAGTTGCTTGTTGTTGGTGTAGAGAAATGTTAACTACTTTTTAAGTGTGCAGTTCAGTAGTGTTAAGTAGATTCATGTTTTTGTGCAGTTTTATCTGTCATTCCAACACTTCCACCCCCTATTTCTTTTTCTTTTTTTTTTTTTTTCCTTTTTGTCTTTTTTTTCGTGGCCGGCAACGGATCGCAACCCTCAGCGTCGCGCCCGCACCGGACCGGGACCGGCAACAGGATCGCAACCCTTGGCGTTGCCCCCGCACCTCGCTCAGCCAGTGAGCGGGAACCGGTCTGTATGTGGGATCCGAACCCTTGGCGGGAGCACCACCGCGCTTCCCAAGCGGCGCACTGTAGCAGTGCGCCACCGGGCCGGCCCCCCTATTTCTTTTTCTTTTTTTTTCTTTTCTTTTGGGTTGGCCAGAACCTCCAGTACTATGTTAATAATAAGGATGATAGTAGATTTCCATTTCTTGTTCTTTATCTTAAAGTGAATGCATCCAAATTTCTCCTTTAAGTATAACCTTTACCAAGTGAAGGAATATCCTTTCTAGTGCCAGTTTACTGTGACATTTTATCATAAATATGTATTGAATGTTATTTCATAACCTTTTCCTTATCATGTGATTTTATTTTCCTTTAATTTATTAATGTGGTGCATTATATCATTAGTTTTTTTGAAGTTAAACTTTCCTTATTCTTTGGATAAACCCTACTTATCCTGATGATTTTTTATTCTAGTATACTGTTATATTCAGTTAGCTAATATTTTATATAGGATTTTTATGTTCATATTTACAAATGAGTTAGAGCTATTATTTTCTTTAAAAAAGCCTCATCTGGTTTTAGAACCAGGATTATATGAGCCTCATAAAATGCACTGGGCAGCTTCCTGAAACAATTTATATTAAATAGCAATTAATTATTTCTTAAAAGTTTAATAAATCTCCACTATTGAATTGCTTAGGCCTGGGGTTTTGGGGGGAATGTAGAGGTGGCTTTGATTACCATTTTAATTTCTTTAATACGTGGCCTCTCTTCTTTTGCCAATTTTAGCATTTTATATTTTTATATTTTTTTAGGAACTCAGGCTTTCAAATTTAGTGACATATGATTGTTCCTAATGCACTTGTTTTATTGATTTCTGCCCTTATCTTTATACCTTCTGTTCTTCTTGTTTCTTTGGGTTTGTTTTGTTTTGCATCTTTTTGCCATCTTCAGTTAAATGCTTAAATTAAACTTATCAGTTTTTAACCTTTCCTGTTTCTCAAATGTATTTAAATATTTCCTTCCAAGTAGTCCTTTAGCAGTCTTCCACAAAGCGTGACATCTAGTTAAAAGTATTTAATGTCCTTTATGATTTCCTTTTTGACTCAAGGGTTACTAATGTTTAGTTTCCAAATGTGTGGGATGGATTTTAGCTGGCTTTTGTTATTAATTTCTAATTTTATTCTGTTATTCTCAAAGGATGTAATTTGTATGATATCGATCCTTTAGAATTCGAGGCAATTTCAAGACAAGATCACTTTTAGTCTTCCCAAGAGTTTCTCACCAGGATATTGTCACTACCTTTTTTGTTTACTTGTCTGTTTTTGGTTGTTGTTTACTTCCTGGAATCCATACTTCACTCTCACTTCAAGTTCTCCAGGACTGATCTTTAGGGAGGGAGCCAGGAACCCCTGCTAGTTCATCACTTTATCAATAAGGAGCAGGCCTGTAAATTTTTTACAATCTAGATTCTGATTTTTTAAGTAAGTATTTACATATGGGTATTTGATTTCTCTCCAAAATAGATTACTAAAAATGTCATAATAGCAAGAGCTTATGTAAAACATTAGAAAAATCAGGTAAATTATGTTCATTAAGGATAAGCATAAATACAACTCACAAATGGGAGAACAAGATGCCTTTTTGCCTCCAGTTTGCAGTGTTATTTTTTGTAAGAACAGTGCTTTCTCTGGACCTTCTTTTGTCAATTCTTGATCTACAACAGAGGTCAGCTTTTCTATAAAAGGCCAGATAGTAAATATATTAGGCTTTGTAAACCGGGTGATTTGTTACAACTACTCAGCTCTGCTGTTGTAGCATGAAAGCAACCATAGATAATACACAAACAAATGGACATGGCTGTGTTCAAATAAAACTTTATTTATAAAAACAGGTGGTGGGCCAGATTTGGGTCATAGTTTGCCGACTCCTGACTTAGAGCAGTGATTTTTTTCATAACATCATCACTGATCTACCAGTAGGCTTCCAGCTTTCTCTCAATATACATTGAGCCAGTCTCTAGAGAAGGAAGGCAGTGATGGAAGCTAACAGCAGAGGCTATGGGCATGAAGAGGCTAACAGCAGAGACCACGGGCATGCTGACTCTCAGGCAGAAGTGGAATCTAAACCAGATAGGGAAGAAAGAGGAGGCAGGTAGAGCATTCCCTTACCCCTGAGATCCTCTAAAATCTAAGACTGCTAGAAGACATTTCCTTGACTTTATTGTATTTCTTTTCTCTTTCTCTCTTTCTTCCCCAGAGTAAACTTCATAGAAAGTAAGATCTTACTATACTGTCCACATTTCTTCATAGGGTTGGAGTCCCCCACCATGTTGAAAATGAGAGAAAAAGTCTCTAGGCCCTTGGAATAATGGAAGCATAAAGGTCTTTGGGTTATAAAGAAAAAGGGAGAAGGATGATCCAAACCAGAAAGAAAACTGGTCCTTTCTAATTACAACCTTTTAGCTCAAAAAAAAAAAGGAAAGGCAAGCCATAGACTGTCCTGCATCAGAGGGCCAGCTTTTGAAACCTCACCCTGACAACCAGCAATAAAAACCAGGCGTGCAGTCATCACCCACACCACGCATAGCCCTGTGGTACTGTCGCTTGAAACTCCATCTCTGAAGTCTCTAGCTTAATAAGGAGTTGAAGACTGTTTGTCAACTGGAGTTTTTACTTTTAGTAACATTAGAGCCTTACCTCAGATTTGGCCTGTAATTTGAGTGTCACCTTGAACAGCTTCTCCTTGGATGGGATCATACTCTCCCCCTGAATGCAGCCAGCATCGTTGTCTTTATGCATGTGGGCCTATCCTCACTGCTGAGTAAACCCATCTTTTCTATTTCAGTAATTGTGGCCTCTACAAATGGGAACGGGATGGAATGCTAAAGGTATGTCATTTGCATACTAATGTGTGACTAATTTTAGTAACTCCTGCAAATAATGTTGAACCATTTCTTATTAAAATATTTTCATCTTTCTAGGAAAAGACTGGTCCAAAGATAGGAGGAGAAACTCTGTTACCAAGAGGAGAAGAACATGCCAAATTTCTAAATAGCCTTAAATAACCCTAACTTCAGACTTTTCCCCACAACCTACCTTGGTTCTCGTGGCTCAGGAAAAACAAGGGATTAGCTCTGCCCATGTTCTTGATTGACAACATCAAAATAAGTGCCTATTAAGCCCATGAGATTTGCCTACTGACCTTGCCCAGTTATGTTGGTTTAACATTGACATCTAAGTGGAAAATCAAGATATCATTATCTTTCCTGTTCTCACTGCAGAATGACTACATTACTGCATTGACACAAATTTTTTGCTCAAAAACTGGAAGGTAAACCAAGAGCTTTGTTTCTGTATCTCTTGGTTGTAGTTTGTACCCTTGTTTATCACAATAAAGTCCTGGTGTCTATATGGACACTCAGAGGCAAAAAAATTAATTTAGCTTAACTTTAACTCCAGGTAAGTTGCTTAACTTCTGAGCTTCAGTTTCCTTAACTGTAAAATGAGGGAGATTGGACTAAATGATCTTGAAATGTATCTTTCAGCACTCACATTTTACAAGTAATATAACTTTTTTCAATCTAAGTAATTATGATCATTGAAAATGAGGGAGATTGGACTAAATGATCTTGAAATGTATCTTTCAGCACTCACATTTTACAAATGATATAACTTTTTTCGATCTAAGTAATTATGATCATTGCCCTTAATATGGTCTCTGTGTACTGACAGTAAAAGCCAGGTTCTTTCTTCCTGGTTACTGTTACCTCTGTTTTGCTCTTTGAAATTAATCCAGTCACTAAACCACTTTTCATTTCAATTTATGTTTATGTAGAAAGAGGGATCTGCAATTACAGGATGAGGTTACTTCGCAGTTTGTGGAAAGATAGAATTGAAAGAAACAATTTTGCCATGAACTTTTTGAAGTACCCTTGTATTGTGAAGCTCTGAAATACCTAAAATTTCATCATTTTTAAGTATGGATTTATTTAAATATGGCTTAAAGAAACTTTGACACCTCTAAACAAAACAAATACAAAATTTGAGAAGCCATGAAGCATGACTCAGAAAAACGTCCCATATGAAATGCTTTCATACAAATCCAACACGTGTGTGATTTTTTCTTAACCTGTTATTGTAGGGCTGATTATGTAACCACAGGCCATCAGAACCTGATGTTAAGCATATGGTGATCTAAATTAGCAAACTAAAACCATCTGTGTCCTTCATGGAGAAACTGGTTGATCTGAATGTTATAATCTTCACAATAGATTTTTTGTGTGTGTGCATCTTTTTCTGTTTAGAGGAAATAAATGGCTTTTTAAAGAAAATCACCTTTCTCTTGAGCTTTGTTAAAATAAAACATTTTCCTTTTCCAAACTGCAAAAGGAAAACTGAAGTATTTTACGTAACAGTTGTACAGATTAGCAAATAAGGAACTTCCAAATGGCTGCTGTGGAATTCTCCCCAAAGGGAACTTGAAGCATTAAAAGTTTCAGGTTGACTGATGGATAGCAAAGTTGACAGGAATCAATTACACAAATTGAGTTTCTGTGTAGAAGTAGATGAGGGTGGAAGTAAAGCTTGATGTTTAGAACAGGTTAAATAATGTCTAATGACATTTATTTTTGAAAATCTGGTGTGCAAATCTGTTTGCCTAAGTATGTCATTAATAACAACCCATCGGAGCTTCTGCTCTGCTGGTAAAATAGTCATCTTTTATCCCATGGATAGAGATTTGGAAACAATACAGCTCTCAAGAAGGATGGATGGTTCAAAAATGAAATTCTTTAAGTTCTAGTGTTCTACATCATATAGGGTGACTATATTTAACAATTTATTGTATAATTTCAAATAGCTAAAAGAGAGAATTTAGAGACAAATGACAAATGTTTAAGGTGTTGGATATGCTAATTACCCAGATTTGATCATTACACAATGTATTCATGTATCCAAATATCATGGTGTACCCCATACATATGTACAATTATGTGCCAATTAAAAAGATGAAATTCTATCTATGTTTGCCAATATTTGAGGAAAGAAATGGTGATATAGAGTCATGTGCCATATAACATTTTGGTCAATGACAGACCACATAAATGGCAGTTGTCCCGTAAGATTATAATGGAGCTGGAGGTGTGTAGGAGGCTATCCCATCTAGGTTTGCATAAGTGTACTCTGTGACGTTTGCACGATGATGAAATTGTCTAAAAACGCATTTCCTAGTGTGTATCCCATTGTTAAGTGATGCATGGCCAAGCCATGTCTAAAGAAGAGACACAAAAGATGTAAAAACTCAGTTGGCTTAAGTTGACAGCAATTTGTGAAAAAGTCTGAATAGTGAACCATTGCTTCTAGGAGAAATTTAGGGTTAGGTTCCTGAGAACCTCTGGTCACATTTTTGCCAACTGGTCAGTAGATAGGCTTGCTGTATGTGTGTTTGTTTAAAAACACCTTAGCTAATATGTATTGTTGATTCATTAACATTGAACTTAACAGCCAACAGCACTGTTAACTCCCACTTGAATGAAGCTTATTTAACACATGGATTTTGTCCGTAAGACACATCTCAGCCTTGTGCTTAGGAGCACCAAACAGCACTTCAACACTAGGTTCGAGGGCCATTTTAAACAGGAAAATCGCCAACAAAAAGCACAAAAATGAAAAACAGTACGGAAAGGACACTTGTTTACCGTGTGAGAGCTGAAACAGGCAGAGCGTCATATTGTCTGTCCTCAACTGGGAACATTTCATTCTATGCTCGTGCGTCCATGAGTCACCACAAAAGCACCGCCAACTCATATCTGGGAGTTACACATAAATTTTAGCGAATAGGTGAATTTGCAAATATAGAACCACTAATAATAAGTGACTATAATATTTCCCCAAACAGGACCAGAGCCCCATTTTGCAGATTAGGAAGTCGGTTAAATTGGATATATGGGTTGAGACCAGGATTGGAACCAAGTCTTGTAATGTGGCTTCAGCAAACACTTTTCTAGTGATATTTTTAAAATCAACTGTATTAAGTTATAAATTTCATACAGTAAAAGACACATCTTAGGTGTACAATGAATAAATTTGGACAAATGTATACACCCATATAACCACACCACAAATGAGATATGACATTGTCATCACCTCACACAATAGGTGGCCTTGTGCCACGTGTCAGTCAATACCCCAGCCCCAGCCCACCATTCATCTATTTTCTATCGCTCTAGTTTAGATTTGTCTTTCCTAGAGTTTCTTATAAATG